GCACTCACAGACACACCCAGAAGTGCTTACTAATCCCCTGTGGCTCTCAAGCCAATCAGGTTAATGATCCAGCTTAACTGTCACACATAGGATCTGGGGTGCTCTTGGAAGACCATGTCCAATCCAGTTCTGCCACTAGCCGGCTGTGTGACCCTGCCTCCATCAACTTCTCCGCCGCCATCTCCTCTCTAGCAAAGTGCTTGTGGTGAGGATTCAGTGAGATGGTTTGTATAAAGCACCAAGAACATGTGACCCACAGACTGTTGTTGGTTACGATGACAACGATCGTCATCACTGCAGTCTTCCCTTAGAGGAAGCATCCCTTAGGTAAGATGGCCAAGCATTTGCTTGTAACCTGTGCACATCCTCCTATACACTTTATTCATCATTATTTTTCTTGTTTTGAGACAGGGTCTCACCATGTAGTTCAGGGTGGTCTTGAACTCACTGTGTGGCCCAGGCTGGCCTTGAACTTGGGGCAATCCTCCTACCTCAGCCTCCTGAGTGCTGGGCTTACAGGCATGTGCCATCCACCAGGCTTCCAGACACCATCTTTAAAATATATATATATTCTCCCCCTGCAGTGTGTTGAATCCATGTATGTGGACCCTGTGGCCATGGAGCGCTGACTGTGTACAGGGTTTATTCAGCCCTGACTCTCTGCTTTGCAGGCAGTTTTGTTTTGTTTTTTTAGGGTTTTTTTTGTACCAGGGATCAAACTCGGGTCCTTGCACTGGCACAGCAGGAGGTGAAACCACTGAGCTAAATCCCCGGCCCTGAAGGCAGTTTTGAGAAGGACACAAACTCCACTCCCGGTTGGTCCAAAGCAGGGGTCCCAAGCTCACCATGGGCCTCCCCATCTCTGATGCCTGGGCCTCAGCTTTCTTGCAGTGTGACCTTTCTGTCACCGCATCTCTTCCCTTCTCCTTGCCCTGGTCCCAAATCACCCTGGCCCACCTTCCTCACCAGCTGCACTATTTCCTTTCCTGTATCTCAATTTTTTTTTTTTTTTGATACCAGAGATTGAAGTCGGGACCTTGCGCTTTCAAGGCAGGCGCCGGAACCACTGAGCTAAATCCCCGGCCTCTCTATTTCCTTTCCTACTCCTTAGGCACCAAAACTTCCTGCCAGGTCTTCAGAAGAGGCAGCAAAGACTGATGAGGACCCGTCTTCCTCCTCTCTGAGACCACTAGCCCCTTCTCTGCATCTCTTATTCACCATATGGCTCCTCCTTTCATTAGCCGAGTGTGGTGGAGCACACCTGATATTCCAGCACTGGGAGGCTGAGGCAGGAGGATCACTGCGTGTTCAAGGCCAGCCTAAGCTACGCAGAGAGACCCTGTATCCAAAAAAGAAAAAAGAAAATTCCTCCCTTCACTCTCCCATAAACTGTGTCACCACCACCTCTGGAGCCCCAAGCCTCTGTTCCTTTCTGCAACTCAGACTCTTTTTTTTTTTTTTTTTTTAGTCAGAGTCTCACTATACAGTTCAGGCTGGCCTTGAACTCATTATGTAGCCCAGGCTGGCCTCATACTCGAGGTGATCCTCCTGCCTCAGCCTCCTGAGTGCTGGGGTTGCAGGTGTGCACCACCACACCCGCCTGCAACTCAGATTCTTTACAAACACTACTTGTGATTCATGAGATTGCTGTGCACTGGCACAGGACAGAAGCTTCCACTCCCTTTCCCCTGCCTGCATGTCAGTCCTACAGCTCAGCCAAAGCACCTGGAGGGGAGGAAAGCCATATTCTCCTGCAAGACACATTTGCAAAAGTCATTTGCTTTTCAAGCAAAATTCACATGGCTGGGCATGTCCCCAGTGGACTGATTGATTAGACAGTCAAGTATTGGGCCGGGGATTTAGCTCTGGTTTCACCGCCTGCTGCGCAAGTGCAAGGACCGGAGTTTGATCCCCGGTACCAAAAAAAAAAAAAAACGAAAAGAAAGTCAAGTATTTGTCTATGGAAAAACCTTTAAGGTGCTTTTGAAAAATTGCCTATTGATGTCCAGTATCATCCACCTTGAAGGCACTTGGGCTATGAAGCCTGAGGTTTGACATCACCTTGCTTTGAAGTGGGCCATGAAATGATACTCAGGACAAAGAATCCAGAATCTCTTGTGAAGTTCAAAACTCTAATGGAATCTGTGATTTGAGGGACGCCGTGGTGGTAGCTACCAACCACGTGTGGCTTCTGAACACATGAGATGCACCGTAAACGGAACTTTCCTCTGGAGCCCTGTCCTGCATGCAGACACAAAAGTCTCAGTTTGAAAAACAAAAAAGTGCTTGAAATCCTGGGGCCCTTTCCCAGGAAGCCTGCTCCACTCAGCCCCCAGTCTGGCTGGCTTCGCTCAGTAGTGGTCTCCGTTTGCAAAGGATCCACTGCATCACTGCACCATATTGACCCCCTCTGGGGCACTCACAGATGTCACTGTCATTGAGTGACCGCTTGCGGGACCCCTGCTGAACTTTCCAAAGTCACCCTCAAATACCATTGATTCCATCCATTCTTGGTCTGCCAGCTACAGCCTTATTGGTTTGTGGGGAGATTAGAAATTTTGTACTGTGCTCTTGGCTTTCTTGGAAAGCACTGTGAGGTTTGCAGAGATGGCTGATGGGGGACCATGAGCTTCAATCCTGTGACTGTATCTTCCTGCCTTGTCCCTCCACACTACCCCAGAATGTCCCCTGCATGAGCAGGGGGCTGAGCAGGAAGTTGGCAGGCAGCCCCTTTGTCCCCTGGGTGGGATCCAGAGATCCGCACCCTGGAGCCCTCGTGCAGCTGGTGGGTGACACTGAGGCTTGGTGTCCACTGACCAAGATTACCCCTCCACTCGACTGGTTGGTTACTAGTTCCGTGTCTGGAGCAGCCTCCTTGCCTTTGGAAAAGCTGTAGCCCTGCACTGCCTGACGTGGTAGCCTCTAACCACATGTGGCTACCGAACACGACAGGTGAGCTGTACGTGGAACATGCTCCTAATTTCTACACTTCCGTGCTGCGGGTGCCAGCCTCTTGGTGGTGTGGTCCGGGCCCCGTGGCCCTGTGCAGGGGTGGGGGACGGTTGCAGTGGAGCGTGGACTGTGCCGTAGGAGTTAGTCACCCTGCAGCCACATCCCTGGGCGACCTCCACAGCTACTCATTCCTCAGTGTCCTCCCTGTGACTGGACTTTCCTCCCAGGGCTCCAGAGGACACCTCTGAAGTGCTTTAGAAGTGTCCTAGAACACACAACAAGCACTAGCGATCACCCGCCCAGGCCAGGATGGCTTTACCTTCCTGCTGCTCCCCTGCTTCCCAGCGCTGGGCAGCTGTAAGGTCCGTACTGCCTGTGGATCTCCGTTCTTTTCCTGTCTTATTTGATGCCAGGCACTGCCTTGCGGTACACTCAGGAGATGCTGCCGAGTCAGAGATCGTTGGGACGCACTTTGGGGTGAGGTTATTTGGGAAGCTGGCTTGATATGTGCTTATCAGTGAGGGACGTGTGGGGCCAATGGCAGGTGGCAGTGATGTGACATTTTAGACCGGTTGCCAGCCAACATCACAGTGCTCAGAGCAGGAAGGGGAGCAACCCTGTACCTATTAACAGTCATTCCACTGCATCCTCTCCTCTCAGCCCCGGCAACGTCTAACCTTCTTTCTGTCTCCATGGATTTGCCTATCTGGGTGCTTCATATGAACGAACTGGGGAATACGTGACCTTTTACAACTGGCTTCTTCCACTGTGCAGTGTCTTCAAGATTTACCCACGATGTACTGCATTTCTTTTTATTGTTTAATAATATTCCAATGTGTTGATATCCCACATTTTGCTTATCCATGATGAATTACAAATATTTCTACTATGAGAATTTATGACTTTTTGGTGTGTTTTTCTTGGCTTGCTTTTATGGTACTGGGGCCAGAATCCAGGGGCGCCCTTGTCATTAAATTATATTCTCAGTCTTTTGTTCTTTTTAAATTTTGAGACAGGGTCTCATTAAGTGGCCCAGGCTGGCTTCAAACTTGCAATCCTCCTGCCTCAGCCTCTGTAAGGAGCAGGGGAAGGGGACGTTACCAGAACCTCTGCAGTGAGTCCTGGTCTCCTGCAAGCCAAGGCAGCACACGGCGAATTACAGGAAAGGTAGAAAAATGAGACTGAGAAGAAGCTGAGCTTTGGGTCTGATCAGTGCTGCTCTGGGCGGCAAAAACGAAAGCCCCCAGCTTACCACACCTTTTATTCAGTACATCGGGAGAAACAAATGTAACAAATGACTTGCAGAGAGTTCAGTACATCGGGAGAAGCAAATGTAACAAACGACTGGCAGAGAGTTCAGTACATCGGGAGAAACAAATGTAACAAATGACTGGCAGAGAGTTCAATAGTTCACATTGGGATAAACAAGGTGTAACAGAAGGCTTGCAGAGAGTTCAGTACATCTCCAGCAAACAAGATGTTAATCAGTCCAAGAACAATGAGGAACTGAGCAGATGTTTGTTCTCCCAGGATGTTTCTTGTCCTGGAGAATCACAGCATCACTGGATCCCTGAAGTCTCAGTTGTGACTGGAGGCCAAACTGGAGTTATTCTGTAGCTGGGCTGTAGGCAAGAGAACTAGGCTAACCAAATGATTTTTCCCTAGAATTATGTAGCATTGCTCCCAACAAGCCTCCTGAATAGCTGAGATTATAGGCATGTGCCACCACACCTGGCTTGTACCTGGGTTTTCATTTCCCTGGGTTTATACTGGGGTAGAACGACAGGGTCACGTGATAACCACACTCAGCCTGATTTGCAGGGGGCTGCAGGTTGTAAACTCGAATTCTGGGTCCTCGCCAGCACTGTTATTGTCCCTCTGTGATGTGTCCCGGGGGTGTCATTGGTGTCTCACTGTGGCCCTGATCGGCATTTCCCGGAGCATGGGTGGAAGCATGGCTTTGCCTTTTTCCTCTGTCTCCTGCTCTGTTGGAAGAAGGTAATGTCAGGCCTGGGGACTTTATCACTCATCCAACTTGGCTATTTTAGAGATGGAGAAGCCGAGGCTCAGCACACCCCTGACACTTGCTCACCACCACGCCATCCGTCTGGGACAGCCCAGGAGGGAGCCAGGGTTTCTGCCTCCTAGACCAAGACTTCTTCTTCCTGCGTGTTGGTCAAAGGAAGCCCTGCTGTCTTCACCCTCCCCAGTGCCCTGGAGGAGCCCAGGGCAGCGGCTGCCTCCCGATACCAGAAGCCATGGCTCCCGCTCCGGGCTGCTCTGCTCAGCGGGTACAGGTAAGTGTTTTACCTTCGCCCCTTCAGGACTCGGGTGGTCACTGCTCTTGTCCTTTGGTCCCCCAGAGAACTACATCCATCTCTTTATTTCCCTACACTCTTGCCTGCCACTTTATAAGTCATTCTTTTCTTTTTTTTTTTTGGTACCGGGGATTGAACTTGGGACCTTGCGCTTGCAAGGCAGGCGCCAGAACCACTGAACTAAATCCCCGGCCCCTGTAAGTCATTCTTGATTAAACACTCCTCCAATTTCCTCATCTGTGAATTTGTTTCTTTCTTTTTTTTTTTGTACCAGGGATCGAACTCGGGTTCTTGTGCTTGTAGGGCAGGCAGTGGCACCACTGAGCTGAACCCCCGGCCCTGTGCATCTATCCTTATTATCCATCCATCCATCTACCACCCACTCATCTATTCGCCCATTAATCTACTGACCCAGCCATCCCCCCCCCACTCATCCACTCACCTATTCAACTACGTCCATCCACCCGCCCACCTACCCACTTCCCATCCCCAAGCCCAGGACATAGTCTGTGTGGAAGCTCAGTGCATTCAGCCAACATGGGGTACTTTCTGCTCAACAGGTGGGCAGTGCCATCGGCCAGGAATGCGAGAAAACAGAACACCGCCTCTGTCCTTCACAGCTGACAATACCGGCCAGAGATAAGAATAAAATTTACATCTCTTACTTCCTCATAGTCCTGCAATGCAGTGGGAAAAGGCAAACAGAAAGAAGGAAAAAGAAGGAGAGAAAGGAAGGGAGGGAGGGAGAGAGGTCTGGAGAATTACTCAGGGAAATTTCTTTGGAAAGGAATTAGGAGGTGCATTCTAGACTCTGTTTTTTGTTTGTTTGTTTAGTTTTATTTTTGTGGTACTAGGGATGGAACTCAGGACCATGCACTTGCAAAGCAGGCATGATGCCACTGAGCTAAATCCCCGGCCAAATTATTTTAAGGTAGTTTGAGTATTAACTTTCTGTTTGTCTTCTTTTTTTTTATTTTTCTTTTTGTCTTCTAAGTCAATGGTCCCAACCTTTTTGGCACCAGGGACCAGTTTCATGGGAGACGGTTTCTCGAGTGGGGACAGGGACGGTTTCAGGATAATTTAGAGCAGTGTACAACCTGGCTCCCTTGTGTGAGGAACTCACAGGGTCTGGCTCCTGTCCGAATCTAAGACACAGAGAGAGAGATATTAAATCACTTTCCCTTTGAAAGAGGCCTCATGCTGGCCAGCCACCCACCCGACCCGTGTCCTGAGACCCTGCCAGCCTCTGTCCCCTCTGGCCACCAGCAAGGGAGGTAAGGTCTAAGAGCAAGCAGCAGAGCCGGCGCAGGGAGGTCACCAGTGCTGACTTGTGCCACATCTTGAACAGCTCTGCCCGTGAACCTGGCTGAGTGGAACAGTGTCACAGGAGCCCACCGAGGAGCTGAGGTTAGAGCTGAGCTCCCTGAGGAGGAGGAGAAGGAGAGGAGGAGGAGGAGGAGGAGGGCTGTTGGCAGCCTCTGGGAGCCCCCAGCAGCAGTTCATGGTGCAGAGGTGACATTACAAAGGCCAGACCCAAGCCCACCAGGGCTGCTTCTGAATCAAGCAAGGAGCAGAGTGGTTCCCAGGGGAGACCAGGCACCTGTCTCACTTTTCTTTGTGTCTCCCGGCCTAGCAGGTGGTAGGTGCTCAGGGGAACAGAATCTGACAGATGTGACTCTACAGAAAACGGAGGTGCTGGGAACCGTCTGGGTTCAAAATGTTCCCAGAGCGAATGATGCGCTCCACTGCAGGTTGAAAGGTAGCTCCCTCCCCTCTTCTGGTCTATCTCTATGGTGACCATTACCAGGACTGGTCAAGGTCACACGTGGTCAACCAAGTGGCAGTGCCCTGGGGACCGAGCAGTTGCATCTTAGCTATGGCATTTCAGATTCTGAACAGCTCTGTATTACATCAGTCTTTTTGTTGTTGCACAAATGCGATAAAAAAGCATTGGATGCATTTCTTAGGAAGACAAGCCATCCTGCTGCCTTAGAACTGATTGGATTTTTCTATTTCCATACACACATGTATTTTACACCCCACGGCGATCGCAGTGAGCATATAATTTTGTATTGTGCTAAGATGCCTTTTTTTTTTTTTTTTTTTAGCAAATCGTTTGTTCTTTTGCATAGATTCTGTGCTTGGGGCCAGGCTTTTTGCTGAGGACAATGGGGCACATTGGCGTGACCTCTCCTGGGTGTCTGTGAAATGGCTTTGTTTTCCAGAGTGCTACAGACTAAGAAACTCGCTGGAGAACAGAAGAGAATAGACTGCGAATACAGATTTCTTGTGTGCTGGGTCTAAGTGGGGTATTTGACTGGGGTGAGAGGAAACCTCCTTTATAAATCCAGGGGACACAGCGCTGCCGTTACAGCCTGCGAAGCAAGGCTTTCCATTCTGAGACTGGCACATGCAAGCAACCTTGGGCCTGATTCGCAGGTGCTCATTTCCCAGCTTCAGAAAGCAAGAGCAGCCTGTCTCTTAGGGATGAGGAGGGGACTGGGTGGGAGAGTGGCCGCCAGTCTTTGCCTGTGACTGTTCATGACTGTCGTAGAGCTGACCCTGGGAGAGCCTCTCTGACCCTATGTTTGTACATATCCAGAACAGGGAAAAGAAATGAGATAATGAATGTGAACGTGTTACGTTAGTTAAAACCATCTGTTCAAAGCCAGGCGTGGTGCCACACCCCTGCCATCCCAGCACTCGGAAGGCTGAAGCAGGAGGATCACTGTGAATTCAAGGTCAGCCTGGGCTACATAGCTAGACCCTGTCTCAAAAACACAAAAAGAAGGCATCTGTCCATCCATTTGTCATCCCTGTGTCTGTCTTTCTGGCTGTCTTTCTTCCACCCCCAGAATGTGGCATGGAAGCAGGCACAGAGGATGCCGAGGTAGGTGGAGCAGGGGACCCTGGGGACAGGGCCTGGGACAGCCCGACAGGCGCTGAATGAGTCCCTCCTTCCTTCGAATCCCGCTCCCTTCCTCCTTCCCTCTCTCCTGTACATTCTTTGCCCTCCACGGTGCTCGGTGTCCCTGCATGGTGCCACGTCTCCTGCAGCACTGGGGACCACACTGCTCACCCTGATGACCTCGCTCTTCTGCAGAGGAGACAACCTGGATGGCACATGGGGCTACCAGGCTCCTGTGGACTTGGAGATTCATCCGGGATGACGGCACTGAGAGATTTCGGCTCATATCAGAAAGGTTCTTTTTCACGGTCTGGGCCATCACAGGACAGAAGAAACTTTCCCAGAAGGGATTGCGTTCCTTGTCCCCAAGGACTCTGAGACAGCTGGGCCAGCTGGTGACCGAGAAGCTGAGGGGATTTCAAGCTCTTTTTGAAGTGAGGAAGGGTGATTCAGTGACTTTCAGATTTTCTTTTCTTTCTTGTGTGCGTGTGTGTGTGTGTGTGTGTGTGTGTGTGTGTGTGTGTGAGAGAGAGAGAGAGAGAGAGAGAGAGAGGGAGGGAGAGAACATGTGTGTCCAAGAGCTCTTTTCCACTGGGAGGTCACTTCCTACTTGCTATAATTTCTCTTTTCTTTTTTTCTTGTTCTCTTTCTTTCCTGTTGTATGGCTATGCCACAGTTTTTCCATTCACCTGTTGGAAGGCATTTTGATTGCTTCCAAGTTTTGGCAATAAGTAAACTACTATAAACATTTTCTTTTGAGGTATTGGGAATTGAACCTAGGGTCTTTGCACTGAGCTACATCCCTAGCCAGTTTTGTTTTAAATTTTGAGACTGAGTCACACTAAGTCTTTAAATTGCTCAAACTTGTCATCCTCCTGCCTCAGCCTCCCAGAGTGCTCAGATTATAAGCGTGCACCCCCATGCCTGGCTTGCTATAAACAGTCTTAATAGGTTTGGGGTTTTCAGCGTATTTGAATGTCAACAAGCACAGCTGCCAGATCATGTGGTGCGAGTATGTTTAGTCTTGTGAGACACTGGCTTCTGTCTTCCAATTCACCTGCATGGTTTTGCCTTTTCTCCATCAGTGACAGAGAGTCCCTGCCACTCACATCCTCACCAGTGTTTGGTCCCGTTGTTCTGGGTTTGGGCTGTTCTAAGAGGTGTGTGGTGGGATCTCACTGTTGTTTGAATGTGTGATTTCCGACGACATTGGATGGTGAGCCTCTCCACATGCATAATCACCATCTGCACACCTTGGGGTCAGGCGTCTGTTCAGATCTTTTTCCTGCTCTTTAATCTGGTCATTTATTCTTTATTTTTTTATTTATTTCTTTTTTGAGACAGCATCTTGCTATGTGGTCCAGCCTGGCCTCAAACTCACAGTGATCCTCCTGCCTCAGCCTCTCAAGTGCTTGTTTGATTACAGGCCCGTGCTACCATACCCGGCAAGTTCTCTTACTGGGTTCTAAGAGTTCTTGGAACTTTTTGGATAACAGTTCTTTATCAGAAATACCCTTTGCCCTATTTTCTCCTATCCCATGGCTTGCCTTCCAATTCTCTTGAGAGTGTTTTCAGAGAGCTACTTTGAGGGTTTGATTTTGAATCTCGGTAAGAATCTTTAATTCTTGTCGTTTAAGGTTACTAAAATAGATTATGTAAATTACAAAGAAAGTCTGTGACTGAAGATTGGGTTATAGATGACTGGGGCTTTGATTGATTTAATGTCATGCTTTAGTATTTAACATTTCTATTTTGTCTTCTAGCTGTCCATTCATCTATCTAGCTATCTAGCTATCTCCAATACTGAGGAATGAACCTAGAGCCTTTGCATTGAGCTAGGGTATATCTGTAACCCCCTCTTTTTGGAGACAAAGTCTTGCTGTGTAGTTCAGGCTGGCCTTGAATTTACTATGTAGCCTGAGCTGGGATTACAGGGATGTGCCACTAAGCTCAGCACTCTCTCTTTATAATTTTGAGACTTTCCTAAGTCTCTGAGTTGCCTAGATTGAGCTTGAAGTTTCAATCCTCCAGCCTCAGCCTCCTGAGTAGCTGGGATTACAGCTAGGTGCCACCATACCCAGCTTCTTTTTATATTTTTAAATCCGTGTTATGTTTCTAGTCTCACACATTCTTCTTTTTTTCTTTTGGTATCGGGGATTGAACTCAGGACCTTCTGCTTACCAGGCAGGCATGGCGCTACTGAGCTACATCCCCAAATCATCTCACACATTCTTGTGACAGCTTGGAACACAGGTAGACACTGCCTGTGGGAATTCACTGTGTCTCTGCTCATCATGACGACTTCGGGTTAAGGCCCAGTTCTGGCATTGTACAGCTCCACTGGTGTCTGGGGGTATTGGTGTCAATAGAATCTGTGCAGTGAACAAGGCCTTAAAGCTCACCAAAATCCAGTCCCCAATTTTATAGTAAAGAGCAGGAATCCAGAGAGCAGCAGACACACATATTATGTGACTGGCGTCGCCAGCTGTTGATTTGATGGTTCATGCAGGGCTTTAGGAGCGGAGCTGAGGCTGCAGCTCAGGCCTCTCTCCCCACTCCCAACACACAGTGGCCTCCTCCACCACAGTCACCCAGCGGTGAGTGTCCTCATGTGGGACAGTCATTTTAACTAGAGCTCTTAGCATAGAGTGATGACAGCAACTGTGATCTTGGCTCAGTGCTTAGCCAGGTGTCTGGTGTTGCCTGGGCTGGGTGACAAACTGAGTCACAGTGGACCCTTGGCTTATGAACTCCATTCATTCCTGAGGGCTGGTTGTAACACAAGTTGGTCAACTGAAGGTTCAGGCTCCTCTAAACAGCCTTCAAAGTCTCTCTCCTGTACAAAAAAAAAAAGACAAAAGTCAGGGCTGAGGATTTAGCCCAGTGGCACTGCGCCTGCTTTGCAAGCATAAGGTCCTGAGTTTGATCCCCGGTACCAAAAAAAAAGTCTCTCTCCAATATACAGGCAGATCTCAGTGTCCTTAAAGAGACACTGGCCCAGGATTTTTCAACCCCACACAGGCAAGGCTGTTGTAATGTTCATTCCAGAACTCTTTAAGGGTTAAGTCTGTATCTGAGACCATCTGGAAACACACAAGCAGCCAGCATTTGGGTCATAACTCAAGACATTGGTGTAAGTTAAAACTAAAATTTCAATCATAACCCAAGTTGTTTGTATGTCAGGCTGGTTGTAACTTGAGGGTCCACTGTATTTTTTTTTTTTTTTGGTACTGGGGATTGAACTAGGGACCTTGGACTTTCGAGGCAGGCGGTGGAACCACTGAGTTAATTCCACAGCCCTATTTATTTATTTATTTATTTAATTTATTTATTTTTTTGGTCCACTGTATTTTTAAAAGCCGAGATAGGCTTGGTTGGGTCAGGTGTGGCCAGGAACTGGAGCCACAGAAGAATATGGAAGCTCCTGCTGCAATCAGGGAGGTGGAACCAGAGGAAGAAGATTTATCCCAAGGAAGGTCACTTGTCCCACAAAGAGGGTAGGGGTACCTGGCAGAGAAAGCACTCGGTGCTCACTGTGATTATAGGGCACCAGAGGTGTTTGAAGAGGAGAGAGGTTCCACCCTACTGGGGATCAAGGTTGACTACTAGATGTTGCAATTAAGATCGAAAGCCAAGGGAAAGGAGTTTCCAAAGGCCCAGGGGCACAAAAGCAAAAGAAGCTGTGCTACACATCTGTAATTTGGGAGGCTGAGGCAGGAGGATCACAAATTCAAGGCCAGCCTGGGCAATTTAGCAAGATTCTGTCTCAGAAAATAAATAAGGAGGACCTGGGATATAGCTCAATGCAAAGGCCCTGGGTTCAATCCTTGGTACCCAGAAAAAAGTTAAAAAGAAAGCAAAAGAAAAAGCAATATGTAGGAGATATTTGAAGTTGTCTGGAAACTAAACTGCATACAAATAAGGAAATGCTGAGTTGGAAATAAGGTTTCCAGAGAAAAAAGTTGGGGCCAGGGCTAACTCCCAGGGAACTAGATGCCAGAATTTGTGCTTTAGGTTGTAGCCATTAGGGATTGAGTTACCAGATAAATACAAGGTGTCCAGTTAAGTTCAATTCCAAGTAAACAATGGATATTTGCATGAACATCTTTTACTAAGAAATTATTCACTGCGTATCTGAAATTCAAACTGAACTGGGCATTTTCCATTTCTCCTTCCTAAATCTGGCTATCCCAAATGAAGCCAAGGCGGTCTGGAGCTAAGGCATCACGAGGCTGCTGATTCAACCCGAACAGCAGTACCTCGAATGTCTCCACAGATGCCCAGGAGAGCAGGCCAGGCCTTGCCAGCTACTGCACTCCCTTGGAGTTCTCTGGAAAGACTGAACCAACCCCCTTGTGGAGTCTTGCTGTTAAACCTCCTGGAAGCAGGAGATTAGGGCAAAGCAGACAACTAACATTAGAACCCATCAAAGGCCATAACCCAGAGGCCGTGCCCAGAACATAGGACCTGAAGGACCCCAGGGCGCCTGAGCACTGTACAGGGAAACAATCAGAAAGCAATATTCTCAATCCTTCATTGGAATCTGCGCTGTTTGCAGGGCCAGTCAGAAGATGCTCTTTTCAATCCTTCATTTGTATGTGGTGGGAAGCAAAGTGAGGCTCTCCACAGGGCAGTTTAAACCTGCCGCCAGGTCAGGCGAGGATTTCCCAGCACCATTGTCCCGATGCCTTATTTCCCTGAGGGGAAGCCAGTTTGGGTACTGAAGACCCCTTTCCCCTACCTTTGGGGTGCTGTGAGTGCTCATTCTCACCCTGCTGAGTGACCCTTTAGTCCACCTTCAATAAATGTGCACTTTCTCTGCCTTTTCTGTCTTGTCCAGCTCTTTGTTCAGGACCCAAAGAACCTGGAGAGCCACCGCCAAACCTCCAGCCAGGGACACCCTCTGTCAGTGTCCTTATGCTCTCGGCGCTAGCGCAGCCATTCTTTGTCACTGTGCTAACTCAATTGGAGCCCTGGACTTCAGTGACCCGAACGCCCCCTTCCCTTGAGCAGGCGCTCGGCCATCCTTACCTGCCCCAGCCTCACACATTCTCATGCTGGAAAGTTTTAAAAAACAACCAAGGCCAGCCTGAGCTACATTGTGAGATTCTGTCTCCAAAACCAACCAAGAAGCTCCTCTCAAGGACGTGGTGTGCATGCCTGTAATCCCGGGGTGGCTGAGGCAGGGAGATCACTGTGAGTTTGAGTCTGGCCTGGGCTACCTAGTGAGTTCATGGTCAGCCTAAACTACATAGTAAGACTGCCTCAAAAAACCAAACAAGGGCTGGGGATTTAGCTCAGTGGTTCCGCTGCCTGCCTTGAAAGCCTGGTACAAAAACACCACACACACACACACACAGATGGAGTTTGGGATCCTACTCAGAAAATGCTAGAAGGTTCAAGAAGCTTCTCCTGTAAGACACCTGCAGCCAAATATGTAACCCTTTCCATGGAACTTGCTCTAAAGATGAAAGTGCCTATGGCTATCACACAGATACAGAGAGATGCATGTACACTTACTTGCGCAGTCCTACTTGTGAGAAAGAAGAGCTACTTATATAGCAGCAGGAGGCCAGTGATGGGTCCCAATTCAAGCCCACTGATGGACCTCCCAATTGGTCCAAATTGTTCTAAACATAAGCCTTCTGATTCAAGCTCGCTGACTTGTCCAAATCCAGTCCTGCAGTTTGGTCCAAATTCAAGCATGCTGAGGTCAGGATAGGCTTCTCCAAATTGTGGGACTTCCTGGACAGCTGCAGCTATAGCTGTTGATCAACAAGGCCCTCTTCTAGCTGTTAGAGGGAAAGGGGGCAGTTGGGAGGGTAGTAATCTGTCTCAATTCCATACCCTGCAATACTTTCCAGGCCTGAGGAGGAGGCAGTGTGGGATTTCTGGGGGAGAGGTTCAGAATCACAGAGGCTGGGCATGGCGGCACATGCCTGTAGTCCCAGGGGAGGCTGAGGGAGGAGGATCGCCATGAGTTTGAGGCCAGCCGGGGCTCCATAGTGAGTTCAAGATCATCCTGACCTACATAGTGAGACCCTGTCTCAAAAAAAGAATCCCAGGCAGAGGTTGGGGGTCCCTAAAAGTGAAAGTGAAGCTGGGTGTGGTGTCACACTTGTCATCCCAGAGCAGGCACCGGGTCTTAGGTCTGGGCTACAAGATGATCCATACATAGCTGGGGATGGACAGAAGCTCTGCCTATCAGGTGCCTAACTCACCCATCTGTCAGGAGGGGTGTTTGACCATAGGACGTTTTTAGGGGAAGTGTGGTACTCAAAGCCCACAGGATGGGCATGGGGGCTCCGTGTGGTCCAAACCACAGTGCAGATGAGGCTGGACTCAGGCCAGGGTCGTGGACTTTTGGTTGTAGGCATGCGTGAGTGGGGGTCTCGGGGAGACAGGATGACCTTTTCTGATGGTTTTCTGATGTTTTGACAGTCATCTTTGCTCTCAGCTCCTGTCCCGTGGCTGTTGTTTACTTGTCCTTGTTCTGTCTCCTACCTCACCAGTGCTGAGGGAGGCTAAGGCAGGAGGATCTCAAGTTCAAGCCCAGACTGGCAATTTAGCAACTTTGGAAGACCCTGTATCAAAATTTAAAAATAATAAAAAGACGCAGTGTGAAGACCCTGGGTTAAATCCTCAGTATTTCAAAAGAACTGAAAGGTGGAGTGGGAGGTCCTGGCTCTGGGTCCCTTAGCAAACGCCTCCTGGTGAGGGACAGGAAGAGAGTGGCTGTGTGTCCCCAGGGTGTGCACGTCCTGAGTGCTTGTTTGGCGGGGTCCCTCCTGGCTGAGGGGCACAGGAGGAAGGGGGTGAGGAGGGGCCCAGTGGGTTCCTGGGCCCCATCAGACTGCCGGCTCCCTGGGCAGCAGCAAGGAGTTCAAAGGAGGGAACATGGTCCAAGGGGGGCAGTCATTATCCCTCTGGCAGAGTCCCTGCCCATCGGTAGCCCTGCCAGTTTCCTGATGACAGTAGAAGGATCCTGGTGCTGCCACCACGGGGTCCTGAGTTGAACTTTAGTTCTGCTCACACGTGGACAGAAGCATGGACACAAACTTAGGGATGCACACACACACACACACACACACACATGTACACCCGCACACTCACGCACTTCCACTTGAGACTTAGCTATGTAAATGCACAGACCTTTTGAGTTGATTATCTGGCCCCACGAAGACAGACACATGCACCCAGAGATACAGACAAGGGCTCAGACACCCACGCAGTGCTATTCTAACAGCTGCCCTTTTGGCTGGATCGTGGGGACCAGCTGGGAACCACAGGGGCAGAGGATTCAAGGGAGGACCAGGCTGGAGACTGTCCTTGCCAGGACTAGTGATAGAAGCCACCACACGTCTGGGGAAAAGGCCAGCTCTACAGAAGGCACCTGGCAGCCTTTCTGTTCTCAGTAGAGCAGGAATGAGTAATAGGCCATGTTGATTTTTTCCTAAAAAGTCTTGTGCAAACCAGGCATGGTGAGCCAGGGATTTAGCTCAGTGTTTCTACCACCTGCCCCGGCAAGCACAAGGACCTGAGTTTGATCCCCGGTACAGAAAAATAAACAAACAAAAAAACCAGGTATGGTGGTGCACACCTATAATCTCAGTGCTTGGGAGGCTGAGGCAGGAGGATTCCAAGTTCAAGCCCAGTCTGGGCAATTTAATGAGCTTCTGTCTCAAGATAAAAAGGGCTTGGTATGTAGCTCAGAGAAAAGGCCCTGTATCTCTCTCACAGAGAGAACAAATAGACATTAGACACCGAAATCTTCAAGGATCCTTCTTGCTTCAACATTGATTTGACAGCTTGTAAAAGGTCTGAGCCTCAGGGGAAAAAAAAGAAAGAAGCGAGGTTGTCCGCCCAGGCACAGAGGCCCCAGCAGGGCTCAGTGCTCTGGCTCCACCCATTCCAGGCAGCATGAGTCCATCCAGGCTGCTGCCGGCCCCTGCAGTTCCTGTCTTTCCGTCCTGGTTCCAATAACAAAACAGCTAAAAATACCCCACTCCGCATGGTGGCCACCTGGCTGGCCTCCTCAGCTGAGCCACACATGACAGCTAGAGTGGGGGACAAGCCATCCTTGGGGGTTTTGAGTTAGTCCACAGGGCCAGGTGGGAAGAGAGTGGCCCTGCTTGGGCGCTTCCCACTCTGCAGCCGGGTGGACTGTCAAGTTCAAGCCTCAGTTTCCCCATATGGAAAGTGGAGTAATGATC